TTTTCAAAGAACAAAAGATACAAGCCACATTATTTAAATAACTAAAAAGATCAAATCATTGAATCATTAAACATCACATCGAATGTTGTTAGACAAAAATCCAAGGACATATTTTTATGTTATAAATATTAATAAGCCAAGTTTGACTTCAAATTTTAACATGATGAGATCAGCCAGATGTTCTTCCACTTATTTCTGTTATTTTGATTTCTGTACAGGTATTCAGTCTACCATAAAAATGCCTTCAAAGATTTTGAAAATATCACTAGGAATTGAAAGATAGAAATAAATGCAATATGGTATGGTGCCTGAATCTTTTATTGGCTTAGACCTACTATGGCATATTAATAATCCCAGCCTGACACCAACATTTAATGTTGAGAATATATATATGAGAGAGTAGGTCAGAGAAAGGACCAACTAAAGAATCCAATGATATTCAGTACTCACTAATATATTGTCCTTGTCCCTCTACAGTCAGCACAGAAAATCACCAGCTCTTGGCTAAATACCCTACCCCACGCATATCCACACTTAGCTGAAGGAAAAGACCTTCATTACATTGCTATTACTTATAAAAGTGCAACATAGCTTTTTAAACTTTGACTCAGAAGAGAGTCATTATCTGTAAAGTATACTTCCTGTGTCTGTTTTCACTCTTGATGTATGTGCAGGGTCTCTCTCTCTCTGTGCAGGCCCATGAAAGTGCCTTACCCTCTTTAACGTCTCTGTCTATCTCTGCCTCTTTATTTAAAGTATCAAGAATGAAAATTAATATCATGACAGATGCAAAAAGACAGTGTTTATAGATAAAGCATAAACTAGGGGCAGAATAAGGACCAAAACCAAATGGCTTTAGCAGAAATGAGTGCATATTTCAGGGAGCCAGTACATTTCATTTCATTTCACTAGTAACACAGTAAAATATGTGTTATTAGAAAAAAAATCTCATTCTGATATTACCTGGAAGAGGGGGCCTGTGAGAGGTGAGTGGGTCATGAGAATGGTGCCCACATGAATGGAATTAATTTCTCTTTTCTCTTATGAAAGGGACCCCAGTGAGTTCCCTCACTCTTGCCTGGTGACAACAGTGGGAAAATGGTTGTCTATGAACCAGGAAGTACATCACCAAATCCCCTGGTACCTCAAAACTGGATTTTCAGTCTCCACAACTGTGAGAAATAAATATCTATTGTTTACATATTAAAGAAGGAAAAAGAAAAGAGAGAAAAAATGAAAGACAAGAAAAAGAAAGAAGAAAGAAAAAGAGAACAAGTGCAAAACCTTATCATTTTTTTCTCCCCTGTGGATCAAGACAATGATAAAAAGACCATTTTCTATCCTTCCCTATAACATAAAATAATATCTCCTACTTTATTTCTACTAGGCAAGTAAAAAAAAAATCAAAGACCTTCATATGTTTGAATGTGTGTACTTAAGTAACTTACAGTAAAATAAGGAATGCAACAGATGTAGAAACAAAAAAGATGAAGCCATTTTTATCTAGTTATACTTTTGAAACTAACAATTTATTTTGAAGCTCATTCTGCTATCACGGTCACCATGAAGGAAATGTAGACAGGGAGAAAAAGGGGAGTGAAGGAGATCCGAAGAGAAATGGCAGATAAAAGATACTAGATCAGATGAGGGAAGAGGGGAAGAGAATAGACCAGGGGAAATAACACTTCATATAGGCAGGATTGAGGGGATTTTTTTGTGTTTTGTTTTGTTTGTTTTGTTTTGTTTTGTTTGTTTGTTTGTCTTCCCAAAGTTGTTAGGGAAGGAAACGGAATTCCAAAGGATCATACCCCTCCCCACACCCCGGGACCTCTATTTGTGTTGGCACAGTCTGCCAGTTACCTTTCTCCTCTGGTGACTAAGGTGTGAATGTCCACACTTGACCGTTGGTGGACTCTTCTGCTTCCTCTAGTCCCAGCAGACTACAGATACATACAAGAATGAAATAATCATAGAAGCAATTCAGCTTACCTACTTTTCAGAGTTTACTTACTATCTCCCAAGAAGAGAGAGACAGAGAGAGGTACCCTCAACAGGGTCCTGCCATGCTATGACCCTCCCCCCAGCTAGCCAAGGTCATGGGTGTGTAAGGGCATGCCCTGCACTTCTGGGTTCACCCAGTATCCAAATTTGGGCTTCCACATGGTGCCCCACTGCCTGGGCTTTACTCACCTTTTTTTTTTTTTTTTAATACATCATTTTGCTTATTTACTTATTTTAATTTGACCAGAGAGGGACAAAGAGAGAGAGAGAGAGAGAGAAAAAGTGAGAAAGAAAGCTGTCAGGTCTGGGACTCGAATTGCTATGTGGGAGTCCAGAGCCCTCAAACATCACACCACCTGCTGGCCCCTCAGCTCACCTTTTTAATCCCAGTTAATTAATCTTCCTATCATTTTTTTCCTTTAAATTCAGAACTCACCACTTTCCAGAAGTTTTCTTTGACGAGATATGCTTTGTGCTAATCCTTCCTTCTTAATTCCCTCCCTCAAATTTATGTATTCCATTTGTACTAGATAGTTTTAAATGTTCTAATATAGAATCATAATACCAGAAGGTCATGGAACTTAAGTTCTTATTTGGTAATCTTTCTTATTGTAAGTGAGATAAGATTTCGGACTAGAGAGGTTAGGCAACTTGTCAAAAGCCACACAGCTAATTAAAGACACATTTAAGGCATCTGAATTCCATTCCAAGATTCTTTTCATTATATCATAATATTTGATTTACTTATTTCTTATGAAAAAACTTATTGGTTGTGCCATGTTTTAAAGTTTTGGGAAGAATTCTTTGATTATTTATTAAACTTACATTTAAATAGCCCCACAACACATTAGGTTTAAAATTTTATGTTAAAGTTTGATAGTATTTTCAAATTTTTAAAAATCCTAACATCCCCAAACATTTAGCATTATTTCCTCCAGAATTCTGTCTAGTGAAAATATTTAGAGCATGTATTTGTCTTAGATAAAATAAATCGACACGCACTCATGCACATAAAGGGCACCCTTTCTTTTTCTTTCTTTCTTTTTTTTTTTTTTGGAGAGGTTTTTGCTATAGGGCACTTGTGCTCACCAGACAGAGAGAGACAGAGAGACAGAAAGCGAGAAATCACCCCCCAGGGGGGATGACCACACCGCAGTCCCTTCTCCTCCATTCTCCTCTCGGGATTTTGGGCACGCACGCACACGTGACTGGCGTGAGTTTAAGCCACTGGGTCCGGGACTTGAACCGCAGTCAACTATGTGGGAGTCCAGCAACATAGCCATTATGTTAACTGCTGGCCCCAAGAGCACCTTTTCACCCTAACCCAGAAAAATTGTCAGCTACAATCTTCTCTACATCGATCAAACAAAATGTCTATTCTTAACCCTTTCATTACAAGAATATTAACAATTAACACCAAAATTCATCATGCATTTTCAGTTTGCTGCTGGCATTGTACTAGTCACCTGAGGAAAGAAAGAGAAAGGAGAGAAAAAGAGAAAGAGAAGGAGGAGGAAAATAAGAAGTAGAAAGATAGTGGATTTAAGAAAAGAAATTTAAGGTTTTTGCCTCAGGGCATGTGCACTCACTGTAGAGAGAGAGAAGAGACAGACACAGTGAGAGAGAAAGTAAGAAATCACCTCCCAGGGGGAATGGCCACACCACAATTCCTTCTCTTCCATTCTCCTCCAGGATCTTGAGCACACACACACACCCAGCATGATTTTGAAGTCACTGGGTCCAGGCCTTGAACTGCAGTCTACCATGTGGGAGTCCAGCAACGTAACTGCTACACCATCTGCTGGTCCCAAGATAGTGGATTTTTAACTTATGGAAGAAAATAGATAAATAATCACATATTTAATATAATATGGTACTATGGTTTGAATGTGCTCCCAAAATTCATGTGTTAGAATTTTTATTATGGGGGCCAGCAGGTGGCATGGTGGTTAAGGGACTGGACATTCCCACATGGCTGACCATGGTTCAAGTCCCATACCTGGTAGCTTGTTTTCTCATTTTCTCTCTCTCTCTCTCTCTGGTTAAATTAAAATAGGTGAATGAATAAAGAAAATTAAATAATTCTTAAAAAAAGAATTTGTATTATGAAGATATTAAGAAGAACCTTAGTTTGATTACGGATCTGAAAAGTGAGGCCTGTGGGAAGTGCTCAGGGTGGGACCCCTATGATTGGGTCCTTGTGGGCTTATAAGGAGAGGAAGTGAGACAGAGACATGCTCTCCTCTGCCAAAGTTCCTGCCCTAGACTATGTGATCCACCTGAAGACCCTCGCCAGGTGCAGCCCCAGGACCTTGAACCTCCAACTCATGAGGTGAATAAATCTCTATTTTTATAAATTACCTTGACTAGGGTAATTCTGTTATTAGTGACTAGAAGATATGGAACGAGAGGGCACTGAGGAGGGCTAGGGTACCCAGAGAACCATAGATAGGGCTCTTAACCCAACCTGAGGACTTAGGGAGTGGGTTGTTCTGGACGGTTTGTTCAGGAAAAAAAAATTTTTTTTGAGAAGTTTTTCGCTATAGGGCGCGTGCTCTCGCCAGACAGACAGAGAGAGACAGAGAGACAGAAAGCGAGAAATCACCCCCCAGGGGGGATGGTCACGCCGCATTCCCTTCTCCTCCATTCTCCTCTCGGGATCTCAGGCACGCACACACACACACCCGGTGTGAGTTTTAAGCCACCAGGTCCAGGACGCGAACCGCGGTCAACTACATGGGAGTCCAATGACATAGCCATTACGCTAATTGCTGGTTCCCAGGAAAAAAAATTTTAATTTTAAAATAAAAATAAGGGTTGGCAAGGAGAGTAGAAAGGGCTCTCCAGGCCAGGCAAAGCTACAGCATGAGGAAAATGTGTTGTACACAGAGAGCTGTAAGCAGTCTGGACGTAACACGTAGAAGGAAAATCAGTGAGAAAGGTGTGAGAAATAGATACTGGCAATCACAGAGGGCCTTTCCTTGGAGTGAGAATGCTACCTGGAATTGATGTGAAGGAATGTGCTCTGCAGACATGACTTCGTAACCCTGCAATTACTGTAAAGCAGATTTACAGACTTCCATCAACACTGCCACCTTCCACCTGTAATTAAAGTAGACACACAGAAGATAAGGGCTCTTCAGCATTCTTTCCAAGAAAGCCATCACTAAAGCGTGTGCATTCAATGTTTTTAAACTGAGGACTCACTCAGAAAAATATGAAAATATGAGTGAATGTCCCTAAGAGCAGAGATGCTTCTTTCAGATGTCTTTTGATATGAAAGGATGAATTTCCACTTAGCAAACACAATGGGAAATTCTTTATGTTTGTCACTTACAAATGAATAGTCACGAAAGCTTACTTTTTCAGTTGCTTTTTTATAAATAAATCACAGCCAAAGCTTTTGAAAAGTATAGGTGTCCCCCCAAAATTAATTGTGACACAGCCATAGAGCACTGGAACCCTCTGCTCCCACTGCCCTTCAGACCTAACAACTATTTTTAGCCTTCGTGAAACTGTGGATAAGTCAGCAGAACCCAAATGAAGCTGCTCTGTAACAAGCACCTGGCCTCCAGTCGTCTAATCATTTTTCACTCAAATAGGATGTCTCTTTTTAAATTCTCTACTCCATTTAACACATGCAATACCTAGCTACATAATAGACTCACTTCTTTGCTCTCCTGAGAAATATGCCTGCTCTTGGCATGCTGAGATAACTCAATAAATTTTCCTTCAAAAGGCCAACTTTTTCTAAGCTCACAGATTTATTCCAATCAGCATCCATCAATTTTTGAGTATTAGTGTTTTTGGTGATGTGCTTGGCACAGTGGGAGACACCAATAAAAAGTCAAATTTCAATTTCAGCACTTGTTCTCACTGAGTTTATGATGGAGATGAGGAAGACAAGACTAATATACATATAACAACTAGGAAACAATTGCAGCCAACGTGTAATTAAGTGCTGAATGTAATACTGACTGTAAGTGCACAATTCTTCACTAATTACCAATTGCTTAAAGGAATTAATACGCAACTTTGGGGATTTCAATCACAATTTCTCTATAAGCATTAATTCTTGTAACTAGCAATTCAATTCATTTCAAAGAATTACAAACATATCCTGGTTTTGCAAATTATCAGCATTGTCCTCGGAAATGTTTTTTCCATTAAGCAATTAATTTAAATCCTGATTGTTCTGACCTCTAGGGCCTTTTGGGAGGTGCTTGTTCCTCAGACGTAATTTAATTTTTCAAATGAATTTTGAGCTGGTGCAGAATTCAGAGCCCTGAGGAGAAGGAATCTGCTTTCTACTACCTAGGACAAGGAGAGCCTGGGTCCATAGCAGGACAACTCTCCCAACTACTGGGGATAAACAAACTTTAGCACTAGACCTCACTCCTTGTCCCTGTCTTTCTTACTTCTCGTTCACCTCTTTTTATGTCATTCTTCCTATGTCCCCTGCTTTGGTTCTCTTCTTCTTCTGATCTTCCTTTTGTTATAGTCTGTCCAGCAGCATCTACAAAGTCTCCTTAGCCAACAACACTGAGGATAGAGGAGGTTTCTGACCCTGATCTTTGCTGCCTCCTTTGCCATAGAGGGGCCTTGTAGGGATTATGGCCACAGAGAACAGCGCAGTGCATCTTGGAATCTTTTTTAAAAAAATTTTTTAGAATTATTTTTATTTAATTATTATTTTATTTAACTATTTAATTAGTTTTAAATAACTTTATAAACTTTACTTATTTATTTTAATTTGACCAGAGAGGGACTGAGTGTGAGAGAGAGAGAACGAGAAAGTGAGAAAGCAAGCTGAGACGCAAACTGCGGTCAGCCACGTGGGAGTCCAGCCCCCTTAACCGCCACACCACCTGCTGGCCCCCACCTTGGAATCTTTAAGTTCCCAATCGTCCAGGAGGTACTTTAGGAGGATTGTAAACATATTTTCTAGATGTACTTTCTAAAGTCACCAAATTTTCACAAACTTCCCTTACCTCCCACTCCCCCTCCTGAGCGCCTTCATGGATTCACTCAACCTGGGATAGCCTGGCAGGCTCTGGCAAATAATTATAGGTAACTGTAGCCATTTCCAAGCCTGCTTTTTGTTTCCCTTTAACCACGAAATAATTGGTCACCGATGCACGTGACATGATGCATCTTTCCGTCACGGAGTGTGGCAGAGGGTGGAGGACCAGTGTAGTTTCCCCTGGGCTTCAGTTTTGTCTTCAGTAAGGAAGTGACATCCAGGAAATGGATTTCTACAGGAATGAGCTAAGATGCAGGACAGTGTGGTGCTTCAAATCCAGACTTCCAGCTTCAAGTACCAATTCTGCCTTTTCTCAGAGAGGTAACCTGCGCAAGCTCTCAGTCCTGCTCCACCACTCCAAAGAGCCCTACTGATTATTAGTGGAAGTAATATGTCCCATGATCTGGCAGACTCCAATATTATTCACTGAAGTCTTCCTTAAAAGGCAAATGAAAATATTAAATAATGGTCAAGATAGAACAACATTTCTGTAGGAGATTGTGCTCTCTAAGCTTTTACAAAACTGCAATTAAGGCATTGTGATTCAATAAAAATAAAAATATTGAAATATATTTGGAAGGTGAAAAGGGGATCAAATGAATTTGGAAAAGATCTGCTATTATTTACTTTCCCTAACTCAGTGGATAATAAAATTTGGGCAGACAGATAAATAAAGATAGCTTTTTTTCCCCCTTTGTGACCCTACCATGGCCAATAAAATTTCTCTTTTTTTAACTAGAATGAGGGTTCAAAAGTGCTTTTGAGATTTAATAGACACACAAAAAATTAAGAGAAAGAAATTTAAACATAACACCACCAATAGGTGGCGTAGTAGTTGAGGTACTAGACTCTCACATGGCTGACCACAGTTCAAGCCCAGGACCTGGTGGCTTACTTTCTCACGTTCCCTCTCTCTCTTTGTTTCTCTGTGGTAAGCACATGTGCCTTATAGCAAATTAAAAAATAATAATAAAATTAAATAATTTAAATAAAAACCCACATATTACCACAAAAAGTCATCAATTCACAGAATAAGATATCAAGAGGAGGAGAAGGGTTAAGGACCTACAAAGCAATCGTAAAATGATTAACAAAAGACTATAGCAAGTTCTTACCCATCAATAACTACTTTCAACAAAAATGGTTTCGACTGTGAACACATTTTTGAGATTGACTAAACTGATGACAGGGAGCTACAAGTACAATTTCTGGTATATCTTTCACCACCCCAATTACTAAAATTTGAAGGAGCTATTTTTTCCAAAATCGAACTCATCAGAAACCAAATTACTTAGGTGATGATAGTGCTAATGATGGCTGATATGTACTCAGTGCTTGCTATGTCAGGCACTGTCTAAAATATTTCCATATATTAGCTCATCTGATCAATCTCTATGATCTCACTTTATCTGATCACAACCTAATGGGCAGAAACTGTGCTTATTTCCATTTTACTGATAAGGAAGTTGGTTCAGTTGGTCAAGTTCACGAGTTAGA